TATATATATATATATATATTTATATAATATATATATATATATATATATATATATATATATATATATATATATATATATATAGGGAGGGAAAAAGTGTAAGAATTTCTTATATATAACATAGTGGAGTAGAATCTTATCTACCGGTCCACTCGCGAACTCAATGTATCGGTATAATCCAGAGTGAGAGCTGCTCACCCCATCGCTCGATCCCTGCTGTCTTTCTAAGGTTGTCCCACCTTTTCCTATTTCTCGCCCATCGCACCGTCCTGATTTTATTCCCTTTTGCGATATTCACCTATACTATGTGAGTAGTCATACTTTTTTTTGTTCAAGGACTATAGACGTAGATAGGAATCTTCAGTGGAAAGTCAAGCAAATCAAATTGAATTGATCAAGTAGATGCTAAATGAAGTCAACTTGTCTGACGATAGATGAATCCTATATACATATTCAAGTATAGAACATTCAACCAATGGGAATACGAGGATAGAATATCGAATAAATGAAATCGAATGATCTGCCTTATGGGATTGATTCAATCAAAGAATTCGTATAGTATAATACTATGTATATTATATGCATAGTAATAGGTTTACAGAATTTTTTTAGGATTTAGAAAGACGATATAGCGATAATAGTAAAATAATATATGCGAGTTAACGTGTATCATATAGTCAGAAATTGAAGATACGTGTAGTAAGAACTGAGCCTAGAGGGAGTGGAGACAGCGAAATACTATGCAGACACGTAGTTGGAAAAATACTATGAATTTTTGTATCAATAGTATAATGTTATAACAGAAAATAGTTAGGTTAGTCAATATCAATAATATACATATACATATATTTTTATGTTGCATTCGGTTAATTTTTTCATAGTAGTTAATAGTAGGGGAACTACTATGCATACATATATATATATATACGAATAATATTAAAAGTTGTGGGATTAAAAATAGGGAATAATATATCCTACTGTGATAAAAAGTTTGTACAAGTAATATTGTTCAACTGTCAATAGTTGCGTAACTTTTGATAGTTTCCTATATGCATAGTTGCTCAAAGTACTATCGAGGGTTGATAAAAAAAAAAAATGTATAAAACGAACTTACCGAGAAATATTCTTGCTGCTCTCCTGGCCTGCTAGTCACGTTGTTGGTGGCGAATGTTCGCCAGTGGAAAAGCCGTGGCCGATTGAAGATGTGGGTAAGGGTGCATTTCACCCCTATTCTCCGGCACACGGCCGCCGCTGTCAGTCGACGTCTGCGTCTCCTTCTCCGTCCTCGGCGTCCTCTTGCTACCCTCCGGAAACGGCGTCGGGACGCTTGCGCAAAAATCCTACCCTTCTGTCACCCTCTTCTATCAGCAGCATTACCACCCTTGTTACCGCTAGTGCCGCTGGTACTATCTATACCTCTCCCCCCTATCACCTCTTCAAGGACTTAGGAGCAATTAGGTACATCTTTGCAGAAGTTACATGCCATCCATTTTTCCTTTACCTACTTTGATTCCAGTACTTTTAACCCTTGAGTGCTAACATTTTTTTTTTATTATCCCTTCGATCTTCTCTCTCTTGCTACTCGAATTTTATTTTATTTTCTTATGCCGATAAAATTCAATCTGTTTTTTTGTAGTCAACATAACCTTTTTCTTTTTTAGATGAATTTGGAAATTTTTCACACCCTATATATGTATACGGCAGCTGATAAGATTTTTTGGGGTTAATTGATTTTGTGAAAGACAGCGTAATCGTATATGATATATTAGATTACATTATAAGATATTATATTATATCTGGCTTTGTGGATTAATTAGTAAATGATAACAGAAATTTTATGTAAGAGTCTGATCATGCGTGTAAAAAGGCGGTGTGACAATGGAAAGTTAAAAATTTGAATTCCACGTATCTAGAATATATTTGGCGTATGTGAATTTTGTATAATAATTCATTTTTAGTGAAATTTCAAGAAAAATTGAATTTAATGACGTTGACAGTCTGACAATGAATATTGTGATTAATGGCCGAAGACAGACTGGCATTATAGATGTTTAAGAGAAAGGTGAAAAGGGTGAGGTTATGTGTGGAATGCGACGGTATGCAAGGATCTTGAGGAATTCTGGATATGAGCATCCATGAGAATGCTCTTTATTAAATCGTGTCCTTCGAGCCATTTCTTACCCCTACCTCTGTCAACCCTCCAATTCCAATCGGATTTCTAACCGCTCGCCGCCATTTCTTTCCTTTCCCACAGCTCCGACAAGCTTTATTTTATTTTCCACCTTTTTCCGTCGCTGCTTTTTCTTTCTTTATTCCTTCTTAATCCTCCACTCCACTGCTTTTTCATCGTATTCTTTCTAGATGCACGATGAAAAATTCTTCAAGAGAAAAACGGCACGTTTCGCTCGTAAGGGAGCCGAAGAATCGTCGGAAGTGCCGGGGCGACCATTGCGCAAAGTGCACCCTTCCATTCCTAGAGGACAATGACGAGTTGGCTGTTGCCATCTCTTTTCTCTTTATTTCTTTTATTCCTTGTCTTACGTTTTCTATTATCCTTCAAAGATTTCCAGTTAGCCACTTTTCCTGTACCAATCACAAAACCACTAAGGGGGCCATATTATCTCCCCAAATCTCCATTCCATCGTCCACTAAAATTTCCACAATTTCATACTTCAGGTTATTCACAAAAGAAGAAGAAATAATACCAAAAAGTAGAAATTGGATAAAGAAGTGGAAAATTGTCATGGAGGTACTTACTTCCCTTGGTACGGCACTGCAATAAGGCATTTATTACACTCCGGCGCATCCTAGCGGCGATTCTTTCAGTTAAATAGAAATAGCCACGCGTTACGCAGAGTAAAATGAAATCAAAATACTCGTCGAGTCTGTCGCAATACAGTGAACCGGTGGTACAGACATATACTTTTAATACAACTAATTTTATCAATCCTTACCATTATTCAGAAACAATCCTTGGAATTCAGTGCCGCGAGTGAATAAAGTGTAACATAACAAGCCACTCCATTTCTTCTACTTAAAGCATGTGTATAAATTCCAGTCACATACGTAGGACACTTTACTGGCTGGAAAAAAGCTTCTCCAAGATCTTTTCTACGTAAAACAATCCCCTAGCCGAAGATTCATCCTCCATACGTGGTAAGATTCCTTTATCAAGTGTGTCTCCTTAGTTCCGCATTTTCGGAATATTTCTAGAACGTAGTCGTCTAATTTCGGCAGTTAATCCATGGTGAATTTTAACGGTCCGATTCTTGAAAAAGTATGTAAACTGAGAGTAATCCGTAGGGAATATTACGTGTCCTGGTGAAGCTTCGACGTGAACGTAGCCACCTGTGGATCGGAAGCCAAAAGCAATAGAGAAATTCCAGCTCGGTATCTGGCAGCCTGCCACTCTGTCTCTCTTTCTCTCTCTCGCGTCTCTCTACAAGTCACTTGTTGAGTTTAGAAGTCAAACAGTTAAGGGAGGCGGAACTTGTTGCTAAGAAAATCTTGCTATTTTTTTTTTTATTAACCAACATAAATCAATACTTTCTTCTCTGTAAATATATAATGTTAATATTTTCTCTGTTATCGTATCTGGAAATTTTTGTACTACAGTCAGTGATATCTGAACTGTAATTGACTGTGAAGGATGATGACTTTGTGTATATAGTATATTGTGGATGAACATACTAAGCTTATTCAAGTTTCCGTATTAACGGATCGTTAAGTGCAAAAGCTCGCAAGTTCAACTAACCAGAGATTGGCTATGGTTTTCTTTTTTTACATTTACAAAGCCCTCGAAAGTTCGTAAGGCTTTTCATCGTGGCGACGGCGTTGCCCGTGGACTTTTATGAGTGGCCATCAGTAAAATATACGAAAAGATTGCAATGAAGTAAATATAAAGAGAAAGTAGCCAAGATGGAAGGCAAGAGAAGGAAGAGGAGTGTTATAAAATCAGTTAATAAGAAGAGTACAGAGGGAAAGGGCAAAGGGAAAAAGCTCTGAAAAAAAGTTAAGAGGAAAAGGCCAAGAATTAATCTTACAAATTTTATTCTTGACAAATTTCATTACACTTGGCTACACTTTTTCTTTTGTTTTTGTCTTATTTTCTTTTTTTTTTTACTTTTTTATTGACACGAAAAAGGTTTTGGCGCCGTTAAAAGTATCCCATCGCTACAGAACGCCATTGTTGACTACTGTGACGTTGTACTTTGATGATAATAGATGAGAAATTTCTGTTTTACTTTGACTTTATTTTTTAACTTTTTTTTTATTATCACCCTCCTGGGAGTTCGTTCCGACTTGGGGGCTTATTGACTTGATAATCTTGACTTGATTTTTGATCGAGCGTTTTTTAGTGTTGATGGATGATCCATATGATTATTGAGTGTGTTATTGTGATAGGGACTTGTATATGATTGGACGACAAAAAATTGATTAACAATATATCCTATTGGTATTAAGGATTTGTGTATCAGGTATATTGGAATTGATCGATAAATCCATGAAATTCACTTTCTTCGGATTCCTTGTCATTTCATTTTGGAACAATTTTATCACTGACTTTTATAATGGATTTTCGTGCAATGAGGAGCTGTCAGGCGGACTTTTTTTGGTTCTATACTGGAACATGACTCGTTTCGGATCTGAAAATTATTATTAAAATAATTATAAAATTGTTTCCAGAAAATTAATATAGCGAATTATTCACGTTTCATGGTTGAAATTTACTAACCTGCGCAATTTCTTTAAATCGTTTATACATATTCCAACAATCTTGCCACAACGGTCTCAGTATGAATTTTAAATCGAGAACCTGTAAGATTTAGATGAAAAATATTTTCGTATATAATAAGACACTCTCGTACATTCCATATGGTCGTGTCTAAGTATAAATGATATCGTTGAATAGGTTTCAGATAAAAAAAAAAATATTTTAACATAAAATTCGTGTAAAGTAAATTATTTATTCTCTTACCAAATTATACGTGATAATACGAGCATGCCTGTCCTTTACAAGTCTCCGTCATCTTGAGACGGAAGAATATCCCAATAACTTCCAAAGATCCAAAAATCCGAAAGATAAGTAATTCCATGGATTTCCGATCAATCCAAAAGACAAGCAATTCAACCAGGAATTTTCATATTGACTCAAAAAGGATTTATTTCCTTTGAAGCAGACAAAGAGTTCTAGTGACTCTTGCCATCTTGAAAACGCAGTACAACTATTTACAAAAAAAAAGAAACTCTACTCTCCCAGCAACGTTTTTCTTATGTCTCCGTTACAGACTAAAGAATTTTTAAAGATAAAACGGCAAACCGTGCGACATATTTTTAAATGCCCCTAATATTTTTCTTATTAACAAACAAAAGCAATTCCAGCAAGGCTCTGAAACAATAAAATGATTTTCGATATTCGCCTTGCTGGTACTCATCTTGGTCATAGAACTTGGCAATGGATTTCATTAACTGAAGGATCTCGTTCTGAAAGATATAGGATGAAGGTAAAGACGCCGCCACAAGGCAGAACCGAGAAGAGGTTGTACACGGTTTCCCCAGTAGAATGTAGAAGAGCAACGGAGATGAGCGGAATCGTGGAATTTCTTTATTGTGCATCGTCACAAGGGCTGTCCGTACCAGATGTGGCTCTCAGCCACCCCTATCGCCTATAATTAATTTCCAAAACCCACCCCTGTCTCTTACTTACCATTTCTCGTTCACCAGCATCATCCTCTATCATCCCTCCACATATATTATCAATTCAAAAAAGTTCTACAAAACGTATACATATATCAAAATTGGTACAATGTCAAAAAATGAAGAAATCCAAATTTTTGTCATGGCAAAGACCAAGCAGTCTTAAGAATCTCAAATTTCTTTTAAAATCCCATAACAGCCCTTCTGGCAGTATTACAAGAGAATTCACTTATCCCATACGTGTGTGTCTTATCTATTTAGCTAGTTGACCCAACCTAACCTGTATCTTTTTGATTGTATCCTTACAAGGCAGCAGCACCAGACACGCATCAGGATCTCTTATCTGTTGAGTGGCAACAAGTAGCTCGTTCCAGTACCGAAACAGGACCTCCAGAACCTCCTCCATCTGCGTTGCTCATGCCCACGTGCCTTATCTCTCCTTATCACTGACTTCTATAGTCTCGTTCGAAGAACGAATATCTTGGGGTTGGTGATCCATCAAGTGTTCGGTCCAGCCATTCTGCCAACCTTACGGCAGACGAGCTCAGAATTCTCATCTTTATTTATAATAAAGCACGGTTGAGAATTGGATTGAATCCACGATCGAGAATCGCCATTTCTATCCTGTCTAACTCCTACCCCTAAAACCACCCTCTACCCTCTGCCTGTACCGTCCACGTCATTCATTCCACCCACAGCGACCTTCTTGCGTGGGGGATGCTGCACGTGGCTCATGAAAGGCGATGAGAGAGCTTTCTATGTTTATAGGGGTGATAGCAAGCTTTATTTCGTCCCAGCAACAGCTACGAGGGTTGTAGTGTTTACAGATATTTTTTTTTAATATTTTCTCAGTCGTTTTGAATTTTTAATATTTTTCACAGCTTACAGTGTATACTTAATTTTTTTTTTCTTTAAAATATTCAAGTGTAAGTTTTAGGTTAGAATATTTTACGTATGCTTTTTTTTGTTATAGGAATAAATACAACTGCGAAATTGTATCCTGGTGCAGCATCCCCTTCGAAAGTATAAGACGTGATCGTCGATAGCTAGGCCAATAGGATGTCTAACGAGTGAAGTAAGCAAGTTCCCGACCCTTCTTGGAAGCCATCTTGAAATCATTCCATGTACCAAGAACTTGGTACATGGAACATTGTCCCAGATAGGTACGTGGATTTCGTTACTCCTGGCCAATAGTCCTTCCAGGACTTTCATTCGCTTCTTGCAGAATGGCAGTCCTGAATTCTGAATATCTTGGGTAATACTAATGAATCGTAGCTTGAGGGCTTTTATTTATTTTTCAACTAAAAACTATACCCGGGAGTCACTGGGATGCACTTTTATAAAGTGTTAAAAAAAATTGCTGCGATTTTTTATTTCACTCGGCAAGCTCTGGAAAAAGTGTAGAAACAATGATCGATGCGAGCGCCAGTCAAGTGCTACAACGAAAACCTCTTTGTTGGTGAAGTGTAGGAAATTTTTTGGCCTGTTAAAGATTACGGAGGGAGTAGATGATTTTTGGAATTTCTCTTTTTTTTTTCCAAACTATAAAAAATAACTCCTTAATCCTTTTTCAAAGATTGTCCGTCGTAGGGTGGAATTTGTGAACAAATTTTTTATCCTGTTCTGAATTCAGTTTTGAGGTATATCCAGCAAAAGAACTATTCAAGTTGCGGTTTAATGTGTCACGAATATTTATGTTGGTTAAGTGAATTTTCATCTGATTCGGAAAACTGGTATGCGAGTGTCAACGTATGGTACGACGCCGTCGCCATCTGTTGGAACTTTCTGTAAGCTATTGGTTTCAGCAGCTTTCCTCTGACTTATTGGGTATGTGTATAACGAAGATGTAGATTGTGGCGCCATCTTTGTACTTTACTGTCAGCTGACATTAACGTATTATCAGAATTGTTGAAGAGGTTCGAAAGCTGCTAGTGAAATTTATTTATACCGTTTTATCAGATTCACGTTACGTGCTAAATTAATTTTGTATTGACAATATCATTCCGTACTTCATCCCTGATGCCTGTAGCGCAATTTGCAGTGCTATTTTTTATGACGAATTTAGATATTGATTGCCAGTGTAAAATATATAAGTTAATTCTAATTTTATTGCCATTGGTAGAGAGCATAACATAGGCGTGACTCTGCAATGCGCAATCCAATCGTAAAAGAGAAATTTCTGCGCATTTCCACCCCTTGAGATCTGAATGGTAATAGGGGTTGAACGCACAAGAATAAAATAACTTCTGGCGAGTAGATTTAAAAATGGAAAAAGGGGATGAGCCATTTTTTTTTAAATTAAAAATAGTATTTCGCTATGTCAATTATTGTTATTATATTGCATCGATGTATCTACAAGAGCAATTCCGTGTGTAATGACGTATTTCGCGTTTTATGCAATTTTTTTGTGCCATACATTTCATCACTATTCTCATAGCGCTCTTTATCAGTGGTACTGATGAAATTTTCAGATTGATTTTAATACTGCAAAAAATGACATAGCACTCGAGAGAATCTGAAAATCATGATAATGATAATTAGCAAAAAAAGAGACACTTCTATAAAAGCAATTCCACTGACTGGAGTTGTCGCTTGTTTTTCCTTCGTGATAAAGATAAAAAGAAGAACATACCGACGTAAATGTTTCCAGCGACATAATGACGAACTTTCCTGCAGTCAATGCAACTGGATTTTGCGAACGTGCAATTGCAATTTGAATAGAACTTCCAATAGACTTTTCGTAATTGTACCAGGAACAATTGTAAAAAGCAAACGCAATGTTTGTACTCTGTAAAAAAAAAAGAAGAATTATTAATAATATAGAAAAAAAACGCGATATTTCGACATGACTCGAAATAAAAAATAAAAGAATTTTCAAAAATTTCCTTACTTCGGATGACAAATAATCTGCCGGCCAGCAAACAAACAGCATCTGCATAATGAAGACCATAAACAAGCCCAAAAATTTTAAAAGATCAGCACCACCCTATTAATTAATAAATTCATCAATAAAATATTATTAATCAATCTATTTTCAAATTTTTCTTCTAAAATAAATCATAATCTACCTACACGAACAATATTCACAGCGCAGAATGAGATCGCACACATACAAGTAAGAACCGAAATCAAATTTGAGATCGATACGACAGCCTCCAGCGTGTAGCAATATCTGAAGATAAAGACTATATTAGAAGTTACAAATAAAATAAAAAATCCCAAAAATAATCCGATCTTAACTCAAGAATCGATCGATGAAAACGAAAGGAAGTCTTAAAGAATCGTGCGCGTTGGTCATGTCCATAATAATTGCTGGCACTCTGTAAATCTTGCCGAACAATTCCAAGCAGCCGGTTGTTGAGCAATTTAAACTGCGCACAGCCATGTATTACGAGCACTGTCGAAAGTGCATCCACAGTGCTAACTGCAACTCCGAGGTAGCAAGTGGCAATTCCTTGAGCAACGTACGCCAATTCGTAATAAGGCGACGAAAAAGTCTCAAATGGACTTGGAAGTGGTAGGGCTCTACGCAATGCGAAATTTCCCGTGGAATTGCTATAGAAGTCCATAGGCTCATTCGTAATTGCTAGAATTGGCGTTGCTAAAAAGAAGACGACCGTAAGTGATGCAGATCCGAAAAGCATTGCTGTCAGTGCTCGCGCACGTAATCCATAGTTCTTTAACGTCTCGTAGTCTTGCTGCTTGGTTGCGCAATTCCAAACTTGCTTATTTACTTCCAGAATACGTTCTATCAAAACTTTATTGTACACTGCCAGTAGGTAGCGTGATGATCCTGATGTAATTGACATTAGCGGTGCCATCGTACTTAGCAATGTAGTCATCTCGTGATTCTAATAAATTATTTAAAAACGTTGCTGCTTTATTAGGAGTCAGAAAGCCAGGACGCTATATGACGAATGGGAAGAATACAGGGCTTGGAAAAAATACTTAGCTGCAGATTTATAATATTTGAGCCTTATACGTTACAGTGCTTAGGTGACGCTGATTATGTATTCTGCCACTGTATCCAGATGGACAGTCCGTAAGAAAAGTTTAAATTTGAGTTTTCTGCATTACAGTGCTTAGTGAGACATCGATAAGTAGGCGACGCTGTTTATGCATTATGCAATGTATCCAGATAGACCATAAAAAAAAGTTTAGGTGCACGTTGATAAAATTCGAGATTCATGCATCAAAGTGCAGTAGTGCTTACTGAGAATATTAATACGTAGCTCATGCTGATCATTAGATACAATGCATTCGCCATCATCAATGCAATCAAGAATCCTTGAATTATCTTGCTGGAGGATTTTTTGAATCCTGGAAACTTAAGAATCCCAACTCCACGAAGTGTCACGCGATTTAGCATGATTACGTCATCGAATGATATTTTTTGTATTGTCATGTTCGTCGTCGACGTTAAAACCGAGGACGATTATACTTTCTCGCACTGGCGTTTAATTTTAATCTTCGTAAATCAGTGAATATCTCTACTCGATGCACTGAGGGTGAATCGGGTGATTTAACTGGTGTTGCACTGCGCGACCTTCGACGCTAACTGGAATCTTGTTAGGGATGCGCCGTGTACAGTCCCTCGAGAAAGTTTTCGGAAAATGGGTTTGTATACTGACAGTAGAGGGGGTTTGACAGGAAAGTAGTATAGGAATGATGCACTTAATAGTGTTTAACAATAATTGATAATGATGGATCATTGAGAATGATTGACAATAATTAAAAATAGATTAATGATCCAGAATGATAAATAATATAAGACTCGATGGCGGTGTAAGGGAGTGTGAAGAGGGGCTGAGAATTTTATAATTAAAAAAAAAGCAATTTATAGTGAAGTGATTGAAGTTTTGGATTTTTGGATTTTCGAAAAAAATTGTATGTTTTAGAATTGTGCTATTAGGTGATATTTATTATTGTTATTATTGGTCGATACGTGTTCAGGTTTTCGTGATGGCAGGCGGGAAGAAGTTCAGTGAGAGCTTCTAGAACTTTTTGAATAATTCAAAAACTTACTCGAGCAGTTTGATCGATCTTTGTTATTATTCTTCTCGACTGAGACTTGATGCGAGTTAAAACTTCGAAATTATATTTGAAATATTAGATTTTTCTAGGTAGGTTATCATCAAATATCATCATGATCAAATTTCAGTCGAACCGACTGTATCGAAGCTTTATGTAAGACTGTTTGAGCTTTCGAGTTTTTTTTCCTTTCCGCCCTTCGATTTCTATCGCATATCAATATATTATTAGAAATCGAAGATCAATCGAGCTTTCCAAGTTATCAGTCCTCTAGGTACTTATTATAAACTTCCCTCTGCGCAAACTTCCGTAACTTTAGGAAAGCTCACGGTCCACGTTACCCTCGCGTGATTCCCATAAATAAACATGCACTTTTTTCCTTGTCTGCCAGAAAATTTTTATTGTCCGGTATTTATTATTCATTTTCTTTTTCTTTCGCCGGTTACATATATTGGTCCACAAATGCATTAGTAAACGTACGTTTACATACGTATGTAAGAAAAGCTAAGGGTGGAATCCGTAAGTTTCTATTGGCCAATCACATGAAATCGAATGCGCAGGTCCCGTATAGACTCAGGTGGGGAATGACGCAAGAACATGGCGTCAAACGAGGATCATTGCGAAATCGGTAGTATATAAAATATTAAAAAAAAAAAGCACGATTAAAAAAATGTATTATAAATTGAAAAAAATTTTACTTGATACTAATAAATTTTTTAAATTTCCTTTCGTCATTAGTCACAATGCTTTTTAAGAAATATAATTTTTATACGAAACCTTAAAGCTCATTTTTTTCATACACAGAAAAACGTACCCCTGGCATCTGAAACAGAAATTTACATAAAGGTGCATTTCTGTATTCTTTTGATTATTTTTTTCTTACCAGTACAACTGATTTGCGGAAACTAGATATTCAACGCGACGAATACATTAAATATTTCATACTAATTTCCTGCAGCTTTTATAGACCATCGAGCAAGGCTCACACCTCTGAGAAAAGAATTTTCTGAAGATTTTATTAAACATAAAATTCATTGACAGCTCATCGAATCACGTGTCCTGTCACAAAATCCATTGTACAAACTGTGAAAAAACTTTCTTATGTGTCGTTCGACTGACTTCATTACACGTTTTTTCCATCCTACGTGACAAAGTTAATACTTTTTTTTTTAAGTATTATGAGACACATGCCGAGCTTTCATTGAAAGCTCTCAATTAATCCAAACATAAGCATACAAATGATTTTAGTATACAGTGTAGATTTATTGTCAATTAAAACTGCCCAAAGCAATAGAAAAATCTATCCTTACCATTTGACAGTATAGAAATTATACTAATTTACCAACTCATAGTTTATCTTATTGTTCTACTCAATCGATACGTTTTCGCTTCATGGCAAAAGCTCTTTCGTGTGTCCAATAGAAATTCCGTTGCCTTGAGAGCACATGAAAAGCTCCCGCCATCTGTGGAAAGCTTTGTGTATTATTCTATACAGAGTCACGTGTCACGTGTATTCTAGTCCTTCGGCGTCGAAGTCACTAGACGTGCGAACGGCGGCCATTTGCATTGTTCCAGTTGTACAAACAAGAATACAATGTACATATATACATATAACAGCTACTACTAGAAAAGCTTTTATGAAAAAGATTACAAGAATAATAAAATTGTACGTAAAATTGATTCTAAGCCAAAGAATGAAAAAGAATATTGAACAGGAGTAGAAATGAAAATAACAAAAAAATATTATACCATACTTGCACTATGAAGGATTAAAAGCCACCCTTATCGCACCAGTAAGTCCTTTATTTTTTAGCATCCCTTAGCTTACCCCTACTCAACTGTATTATTTTCATGATTTTACCATTGAATGAACTTAAATAAAGATTTGATTCATTTTAACTCTTTTTCATGTGTACATGTGAAATTCACTCGATACTTCTGAGGAGTGTGAAAAAAGACAATGCCGACGAAACCATCTATAATTTTCAAAATCTAATCAGTGTTACATTTATTTGACACTTTGACCATTTTTATTTTTATTTATCAAATTTGAATTTGTACGTACCCTAATAAATGTCTCCAATGACAGGTCGACGAAATTACCAGCTGTTAAACGAACAACACGTTGCCCTCTCATTATTATGATTTCCGTGGATTTTTTGACGTCTCTGCTGCAACGATACCAGGGCATAAAATATGCAGCATACGCCACTGCCTGGCTCTTGAAATGAATTAATATCTGTATTAGCTTGAAATCGTATTATTAATTTAACGAAGAGAAACTCACTTCGTTCTGAAGAACATCGGGAGGCCAATTGCAAAGGAACAGCTGAACCAACGAAAGTACAATTTGCGTAACGTACTTCGATTTGTCGGAATCGTTCTATGGATTAAAAAAAATTCTTTTTTTTTAACTGATAATTAAAAAAAAAAATAATTTCATTCAAAATACCCCAACCATCTTGAAACCAATCGCCGAAATGCTGTACGTGCTCGTTATTAGTTGCACGAGAAAAGCTTTGTTCGTGACTTTTTCGATGTCCTTGCAAAGTCTGAAAAAAACGAGATTTTGAAAATTGTCTCAACCTGTCTTTAACGCGTTATCTCACTTTAGAACAGTCTGATGATACTTGACACAGGCTTCGAAAGATTTCCCAAAATACTGAAAATGCGAAATTTCGTAATCAGATATTCGCTTCACTTTGTCGTTTTTGAAATTTTCAAATTCCTCGGACGATCCCAATGACATTATTCGATTTTGGATAATCTTCATATGGCCACTGACAGTCAAAATTAAAACAGGACCAATGGTATCAACACCGATATACGTGATAGCTATGTTGATAACCGTTAGTATCTATAAATTTTTTGAATTATAAAATTTTGAGTAAATAAATTTTATTAAATTCATAATACCTGTAGAATATAAAGGATTTCATAGCAGGGTGAGTCTTTGCATTCAAAGATCAATGAATATGGTAACATCCTTTCCGTAATATTTCCATTGACCCTGACAAAACCATTTCCAAAAATAACCGGTGCTCCAACGTATAAAAAAACGGTGGCTGCACACTGTGACATAAAGAAATACGTGAGTTTCTTGGCGTCCCTGACGTAAGACATTAGCACTCGTTTCTCTTGAACTTCCAAGAGCCCCCAAAGATCCTCGAACGTTGCCAATACGTCACAAAGCTTTGCACGACTTTTAGCTATCAGTATATAATGTAAGGTATTTCCGAAGCCAGTAATCATAAATGCCAAAGATTGCATCGCCACTTCCATATTATCAGTTAGCAGCAGATCCCTTAAATAGGAGCAAGACATTGCTGCCAAAAGTCCAAATGCCAAAACTGACAAGATTTCTGTCAGGGATATTTTGCCTACGGACGCACGAATTATTCCTGAGAATTTCAGAAGAAAAAGATTCACCCGTATCATTTCATCGAATGACTCCTGATTTTCCATTTCGGTAAAAACTTTCGATCAGTCTTTTTTAAATAAGTATTTATTACTGTTTGTTAAGAGTAAATGATCTTGGAAAAAGGATTCTACGAAATTAATTTTAATTCATGACATTTATAATAAAATTTACACGGCAACCACTGTCCATACTGCTGCGTCCATTTGCAAGCTCCACAATTCTAAGCTGACGAACCAAATGCCACGGAGCTTTCGGACAGAGCTTGTATCGAGTGTAATGTGTATGAAGGTGCACCTGCGCTTTTCTTGACTCCGTTAAATATTCTGGTAACCGTCTACCATGTAAGAATTTCTTGCATTAGTAATGCTAGACCGATAGAGTTTCCTGGGTTTCAAGCTTTGCGTGCAGAACGACAATACAAACTTTTATAGAATCGAAGGAAAGTTTGATCTCTTTGTTAATTTCTTATGATATTTATAGAATCAAGAGCACATACATTATTGTGCATAATACTGCTTTTAATTCTATGCTATATTTAATTAACTTCGATTCAGATTAACCTGTAAAGATTTGGGATATAATACATGAACCACTAATGATACTATAAAACTCGTTTATTATATACCCCTTTATTCAATGGTCGATACGAATTTTTAAAATTAGGGATTGAATAGAAAAAAAATTGTAGCAAAAATATTTCTCATTAGCCAACTGCGTATCTTTAAATACAAAGAGCCTAGTATCATAGGTACCAGAAAAGTATGGGATGATTGACAAACATGATAAATCTCAAAAAACGTGTTCAAACTATAGAGCGATACTATTAAAAAAAAGAACACACTTCTCTATTTGACTTCTTCTCATTGAACTGAAAAGAAAGCCTAGTAAATATAAAAGCGTAATATTCATGACCTAAAACAACCCTTAGATTAGCAACCGTCACTAAATCAGCCTTATCATGGTTTTCAAAAAAATGAAACGTATCATCAACATCGACGATTATGAAATAAAGATTACCATCAGCCAACAACTGATACCGACGTCAGATTGAACGAGTTCATAGTTTCCCCGCTAGATGGCACCGCTGCGTTCCCTCATAAATGTCAGGGGTGGAGCCAGTTACCGAAGGTAGTTCCAGCGCCCCGGATAGATGGTACCCAAGTAGATAAGTAGTCAGTGTCGTATATGATACAGCCAGGAGAATCTCATTCAGTCTTGCACTTCCTCTGTCCTACCAACCCCGTTCCGAATATCAGTACAGCTTCGTCTTGCACAAGGGTATCCCAGCAACCCCCGGAATGAAGGGTCGTTCCACCCTGAAGTTTCGTTGCCACACAAGTTTCCCCTGATCGAGGCACAATGTGATAATCCGTGCTGCGACGACGGAGTGTTGACCAAATTGAGGGTTGTTACGTCCTGAAGCCATCAGGATCCAAGTATCCTGGCTGGAGGTTGGTCCAAGTAGTATCCAGGCCGCATGGCGCTTCTTCTACGTAAGTATCGCATGCCTTGAATACAGTCAAGTTTAAAGCTAATATCGATTAACCCTACACCAGAAGTAGCATGCTTCGTTATTCTTACCATAGAAAACTACCCTAACTGTAACGGCAGTCGGCGTTCGGTATAGTTAGTTTATCTTGCAACCTGAAACATCATAAAACGTAATTACGTAAGCGTTACGTATTTAAGCACTAAATTTATAAAGCCTAAACTTAAATTTTACAAAATATTTGTAGCCTTGGTAAAAAGTTTCTTACTTGATTATCGGTCTTTTGCAAGGTAGAACGTACCATGGGTATCGTCTATAGTGAGTATAGTACCATGTAGCAAAACAACTCATATGTGACATACTCTCATATAGAAGTGCTAATGAGGATTACAGGAATCTAACGTGCGTCCACGTTATGGAATTATAGGTATGCAGACCATTCACTGTATAGCAATAGTAAATTACTATATACTGTATACATGCAGATACTACATGTATATAATTTTACTGTATACTAAACGACTATGTGGAAATTAAAGGGAGACAGTTTACCTTGCATAAAGCCACTCTCAGGAAAACAACTATTCACGTCTGATAATTCCAAGTCAATTGTAATAATATTTATAAATTATCTTGAACATCTATAATTTACAGCACACACCATTGACAGAAAAAGTCATTTATTATCCCATATCAGATACAGGACTAGCCTCGTGCACTGGGAGACCATGTAAAACTTGAAATGTAGTTGATACCTGGAAAAAATTTATCAATCATCCACTGTGGGGCAATACGAAGATAGTATAGTACAATGATTACATACTGAGTCATCATGTAACATGTATAAGTTGAAGTGCGGCTTGTACCCAGCACGCGAGCATATTGTAGAAATAAGTATATCAATTGTCAACTGTGCGGCAATATCACAGTCAGGGTTGTTTTCACTGCCCACTGGGCGACCGTGTTGAATAAATTAAAGTGCAGCTACATACAGAAGCCGTGCAATCGTTACGTAACGCGCGGCCACGTTGTAAGCAGTTTCAAAATGTATGACATATTTTGAAAGAATTATATTAAAATATAAACAACAAATTAAACATTATGAATACGAGTTAAGATTCTGCTTATAAGTTTCCCAACGTCATGAGTGTGACAGATCGCGTATAAACAAAAATGTGTCACCAGCGTGAACGTTGTGTACATATATAATTCCGAAAATATATTTTTCTTAATAAAAATGTATTTCAGCGTTAAGAACGTCATGAATATTTAATGAATTGTTTTTGCAATTTTTTCAAACACGAATTGTATAAGTTTTGTCTTACTGCAAAAGGGTTAACATAAAAATTGTATTAAAAAATCCTTGCACATTCACACTTGTTTTAGTACACCCTGTATGATGGGTGAGTTAAAAGAACTATTTGATGTAACAAGCAGAAGGGACGTTAACGAAGCGCGTTTCGATTGCTAATAATTATTTTAACGACTTGCTCTTTGATTAATAGACTCTGGTCTCACTCCATATTTTTTACACATACGTACGCATATTCTCCCTCTGCAGACGTGTCTGTGAAAAGCCTTGGGAGTTGCTTTTTGATTATTTTTAATTATTGAATACCGAGATTCCTATATATCGTTCGTCATCAAGTATATCGATATATATAATTTCTAACCTAACCTCGTCATGGTTAATTACTAATGAATATATGACTGTTAGATAACGCGTAAAGTATGTTCCAGCTTTTGGAAATTACTGTAATGATTTTCCGGTTAATTAAATATTACGTTGCACCTCCCACTGCCTACTTCCTCCTGTTATCTTGCTTGCGGTATATCGAGGCTTCCGTTGGGATTCCATGAAAATTGCGGGAACAGTTCGTCATCCTGTTGATTTCTGCCACGTGATTTCTTATTTTTCTCCGTCATGCTGAAATCACACGCATAATAATTATTATTATTCAATTGATCAGCCAGTAACTGTTTACTCGATCGATAACCGTTATAACTATAGAAATGGCACTTACCGACGCAGGCGGTTTTGAGGAATTATAAGTTTTTGCAATACCTGTACGTATCCTTTGGTATTTGCTAATGCAGTTTTCTTAATTCATTTGTTTATCTTGTTTTTGTATTTATTTATTTCATCTACCGTTGCAAATCCAACAGCATTCTAACGATTGCACTACAATCAAACTATCGGCGAGCTGATGTCACTTGCTCGTTTTGTCTCTATTATTTCTTGTCACTTACCTGCATTAACACTCAGTCAGGCTGTATACTCATTGACGTGAAGTACAAACGTAACAAAAGAATGTTGCTGATTCAGGGCGCGTTCGAAACGTTTTAAAGTCAGGGACAATCTGCGAAGGAAGAATAATGATGAAACAAAGGAGACAAGGAATAATTTGGTTTCTCTTTCTCAAAGAATTTGTTAACGACACTGCAATATCTTGCGGAGTCTCCACTGGCGCGAAAAAAGAAGGTCGAGGTTGCCGATAGAGGTTAAGGCCCGGTCTAAGCCGTGATTAATTTACATTTTACGGATGGCGTTGCATTTTGTAAAATTATCTATGTTTGTGTACAGCCAGAGTAACCTGTATGCATTGAAGTAATATTTGCGACAATAACTTCCTTATTTTTAATCGCTCAGTGATTATTATACCAGTTTGCAAGTGATAATTTTTAGGCCAGGTAAACACCGTAAATCATAAACTTAATCACTGTCATTTTTTTGTCTTCGTATATTAAAATACATATAATAAATCAAAAGCTGATACACTAACCAAAGTCTGTTGTTATGCGCGTAATATAGAATTGTGCTTCCTCCAGCATTATCCATTTAGTCGTCCAGCCCACTTGTCATGCACTATGCAATCTCTGACGTGCTGTCTAAAACACAGTACTTGTGAAGCGTATAGACTGAAATGTATAATCTCTGTTATTTCACGTGACTTAACCGACGCAAAAGTGTTTGACGGACGTGATTATCGTTTCACTAGGAAATAAAAGACGTTCGGCCCAGGATCCCTTTTCCCGTCCTTGAACCTAACCTAACAGTTACGTGAATTGACGGTAAGGCAGGAACGAGACGTCTCGTAGCGAAGTAGTGCGCGCGCATGCGCGAAACGGCGCCGTTTCAAATACGAAATATTAAACGGTATTATTTCGTCTTTTACAATGCGTGTAAAATAAATTCCAGTTGATTTCCTGGTTTACCTTGATCGATTACATCGGTATTCCCTGAGAGGCTCGTGAGTGCATGTTTATTTTCTATTTTTATCCTCGAATATCACGTTGCAGCGTGCTCGTAAGCGATAACTGTATTTATTTAGTTATCGCCTAAAACGAAGACCAGATATTTTTTTTTTGAATAAAAAAGAAGATGGACAGATTAAAATTACGATGCAAGTGACTATCTGGTTTATATTTTTTCCCCTTATTTCCTCTCTTTTATTATTTTATACAAAAGATATCACGCGCATGCGCGGGCATACAGAAATTCATACAGACCGAGTAACGGTGGAACGAGACTAGCAAATAAAGCAGCGTGTATTTTTCCATGATTTTCCGGTAATTCCTCGCACCCGAGAATTCTCCCTCGACAATACTTAATTTCCCACGAGACCGAGCGAGGAAAAGAAACGGATAAAAAAAAGAGAAAGAGAAATAGTCACTCTAAACCGACTCATTCTCCCCTGCCTTTCAACCATCCTCGCTTCTCTCCACCTTCATTTCCTTATTTCCTCGCTTTACGACTTCCCTCGATGTTCCTTTTTTCTTTTTACTCCTCCTCGTTCCTGGAATCTTCGTCACTTCATCTCCATTAGCCAATATCAGTCATTGGTACTGAGCGTAATAACCATCTATACAAGGTGATCAATTTTGGTAAAAATAGTCAAAGTAAAGCTTGTACAGTTGGTAACAAAATTATTTATACATACGAGAAGCTGATTTCCCGTTGTTGCTGTACACTGCCTCTAGAAGATATAATCAGACTTTACGTAACGCCAAAGGCAAGAATGTTGATCCTTTCAAATATATTCGACCAGCTTCAGGTGCTTCGTCTTCCTTCGTCGACAAAGTCTGAGAGTGAATATCGCAAAGGTGGCTGCGGATATCCGCATTGTTTTAACGCCCTGAGCCAAGTCAGCTGACCTACATTACTTTAAAGTCTATAGAAGAGTCAGCGTCCATTGCGAGGTCACTCGAGATCTGAGGGTTGGAGGGAACGTGGGTGCTGGATGCTTGCTCATAGAAAAGCACTTGGGTTATGAACAACCCTTTATAATACCGCTCGATGTAACATCACTGATTTATATATTAAACCAACCTTTATTCCAGGAATCTTTGAACGTTACATATGCGCATTGTCATTTTGACAGTTGATCTGTTTGTGCTGAATATGACATCTGCTTGTTGATTATTCCGTTTTATAATTTTTATGGGAATTCTAAATGATATTAAAGCCATTTCACACGACACTATTCACACGGCAGGCCACGTGACAAGAGGAAGAATAACCATGTAAAATAGGTTAGTCCGGACTAGATTAGTAGGAACTTGGGATTTCCCATGTCAATAATGCCTTATCGTTACGATTATTTTATCGTGGATTTAATTCTGCTTAACGAAAGTGTAATACGATTGGAATCACCTTATTATGATTTTTCTAAATCCTTGGATTGAGATTATTATTCAGAGTGTAAAATAATATTTTTATCAAGGACGAAGGCAACTGAGGCGATCGATCACGACATAGATTTTATCTCGATTCGGAAAATGATTTTATGCGTTATTAAATTAGCTTGAACCGAGGCTTGAAGCCATTACATTATTTCTATCAGTGACCTGGCGCCATCTTGCTTCCATCAAGGGTCAAACGTTCTACGTGCTGTGTAAACTGATTTGACTTCTTTGCCAATTGCATCTATACGAGTTCGTAAGAATTGCATTGCTTGCACTATTGGATTCATATATAGTTAATAGTCATATCAGCAACTAGTCAGGCTATCACTGATCTCCTTGGTCCTTGTAACAAGTCACCGGAATCAATCTCGTATCGCATGCACCGTGTAAGTCAAAATACCGTTATTTTAATTGTCTAAATAATCGTAAATACATCGGATACGAACAGGATTTAGGAGGAAACAGAATTTGAGTAACAGAGTGTCATGATCTCATTTGACTAACCTCGAAAACGATAAATACGACAATTTTTAGTATCACATGTCCATTACTCATATATTGCAGTTACATTAAATTAGTATTAAGTGGGAACAATAATTCCTGGAGGTTATTGATAGCTATTTATTACAATTTTTCTTTCTACAATTATCTATCGACTATTTTTGTGACGTTCATACTTATTCTTACCGAAGGTTCGTATCATAGCTGTACTTATTGACCAATCAGGAACCGCGTAGAGCTCACGTGACTCGTAGCACATGAATCGCAAGGCGCAAAGCTGGACCATGCTATAGGAGGTTCAGTAGTGTGAAGACCGTCGACGCGTGCGGTACTGTTCGCGTCAAGTCGTGACTAGCCACTCGGTCTTTCGTAAATAATTTTAAAAAAGTAAGCATAAACCGGAGTCACGTAATTTCTAAAAATATAAATAACTTCAAATACATTTGTTAAATTGGTTCGTTGTTTGATTCGTGAATTTCGTTAATACGCGATAAATTTCAAACGATGCCAGGCATCCGTCTGCCGGTAACGGTAAGAAATACGCCGCCGGCAATTGTTATTTTGAAGCACAAGAAGTACTACGAGATTTAAAATGACGCTTTTTATCTTTTTTTGTCTGTCTCGCTTGACACTTCCTTCTCTTGTTCTGTTCCCAGAGTTGTTTTGTCTCTCGTAAATGCATTCAATCCCAGCGCGAAGTGAAGAACGTCTCCTCAATGGCGCGACTTATTGTTGGATTCAAAACGACAAATTGAGAGCGGTAAGTACCTCCATTGAAAATCCATTTCGACACCGTACGGTACTGTGTTACACGAGAGTATCACGCGCGGCCACGCACGTGCTTGCAAATGTCAGATTAGTGGAATGGAAAAGGAACGAAGTAGCGTGATAGAAAAAGCGAAGAAAAAATAATTGGAGTGAACGAGCACTCCAAAGAAAAAAAAATGTACTTCAAGTAACCCGGTAATGAAATGGTTCCAAGAGTGCCGTACAGTGTTCACGAATAAAGTATTTTTTATTGTTCGCTCTATTAATACGTGAAGCGACGACGAGTTGACTTTAACGACCTTTTCGTTCGCGACACACGCGATACTGTTAAACCGTAGTCGACGCGGCCTAAACGAATAGTTTACCGTCGGTCAGCAACGAGCGACACAGCGCTTAGTTTCTTAACCTCAAAAAAGTCGCGCGCTTCTGCGTTTCATTTGAAATAGCATCGAGTCTCGGTCATTGTCAAGCTTCGTCAAAAATAGAAAATTTAATAAAAAATTCGCCATTTTAATTACCCTATTTCATACCCTTGTTAAAACGTAACTTCAAGCTTCTCATATATATATTATTTTGTGCAGCTCATCGTTAAAATATTTTACTATGGCTTATAGTGAGAATATAAATAAAAAAGAGAAGAGAATAAAAAAATGCCGTTCGAATGGTATTATTATGACTGATGTAAAGTCCAATTTTATTATTTTCTCTACTGCGAGTACAACAGTGCGTGAGAGAAACAGAATGAGGAAAGGAAACTGACCAATCGCGTAAACGTTACGAAACGTTACGTTTTACGATGCACCGTAATAGGATGAACCAGTAAAGTTTTCTTTTGTGCGTGATCCGCAAATGTATATATAAAATTCCAAAGCCAGAGTAAAACGATTTCGTTTACAACGACGGAATTACGACCGTTGCAACGTTGCGTGCTCGTAACTCGTTTTCTCACATTTTAAACCAACGATGATATTCCCGCCGTGCGTTATTTCATCCCTTCTTCATATTCTACCACGGATTCTTTCTATTTTACCCTTTTTCTTTATTACCAGCAGCTCACTCGCGTCTCGCCTTCCGCGAATCGGTAATGGGAAGCAACCTCAACGGTTTCCATGAAACTACCAACCCGCAGGGTATCGCATAAGATCATAGAGTTACCTTCGTAAAACAGGTTTATATTTGGCAATGAGAATAGTTTCTCTTTTCCTCATAAAATTCCCCCCTATCTATTGACCATTATCATTTTACCCGAATTACAGAAAATTTGAAAATTTCTCCAATCACAACTATAATTTACATTCTGACATATTACCATTTGTCGTCATGGAAATAATAATAAAATAATATAATGCACTATAAATTTATTATTTATCACATAATATCAATATGTATTATACCAGCAATAATTATGAATTTTTATGCGAATATTTTTTTTCACAATGCAATTTAATCACTCTATGTTTATGCACGAGTCACGTATGGTGGCTCGTATCAGCTGATACCTCCGACAATTATATAAATGACCAAAGATAACAATTCGTATAATGGGTATCGTTAAAATTTATTGTATCGATCTTAATTCATACGTATACAAGTAAACAAGTATTTCTCAAACAAAAACAGTCAAGCTTTGACGCGAAAAGAGAAACAATAAAAACATTGCATAATCATGTCACAGTAAAAAATTGTTGTGGCTGGTAGAAAGAATTCTTTTTTTTTTTCTTCTTTTTTTTGCCTCTTATACCTGCCGAGCATTAAGCCTCAAACTGTACAATATTTACGCAACAGGATCGCCAGAGCCGATTGAAACGCTGCATAGTAAAATTCCATAACCTACGTGCGCTATACATAATACCAAAAACCTTAAGGCAATACAGAATAGGTATTGGATAACGATATTTTTAATGATAATTTTTATATATATTGAAAACCCACTGTAATAAATTTTTATTCCGTAGTGACACTTAAACGTCAAATCGTGTTCACATGAATGCTACATGAGAAAAAGTCGTCCCGGAATGTCGTATTCGATCGCGATTCCAAATTGCTCAAATTGAACTTGACATATATAACGTTTACCAGGCTGTGCTTGCATATTGTACTTCTAATGATAATGGTATCTGCATGTAGAGTCATAAATAAAGCACAGTACATAGTGCAACCAAGCACGGTATTATTATGTACAATTGTGGTGACAGTGAAAAACTTTAATATTACTTTACACAGCTAAGAGACTTGGACGAGTTGTCGACTCTTTGAAAAGACCCCATGAAGTTCACTTTTCTAACTGATTATAGATATAACTATAATACATATATATGCGTTCAGTGATACTTGGACGATCCTCAAGTTTCTTTTTTATTTTACTTTTTGTTTTTCGAACCTAACGAAGGCGTATGAAGTTTGGAATCTGAGGGCGGGTTCCCTTGGGACCTAACCCAACCTAACCCGTGTTAGTACGGTTTTATTTAGATGAGTACGTGTGTTGATTTGAGCGCGATCTAGTGTTACATATGTCATATATCGCTGTCCGTTTTGAGAAAAAAAAATGTCGCATTAAATTTATCCAATGAAATTGTTCTATATGACGGAAACATTTAATTTCTTTTTTATTTATCAATGTGACCACGTGACACGTCGTTGACGCTCTGCGTGTATGGTGATTGAATCGATCGATAAATAATACGAAAAATGGCAGTGACTGTATTTTTTCTTGTTTTTTTTTTTATGATCATCAATTATATATTACACGAATATACGTAATGAATCGTGGTCGAAGAATTTTCGTGATTTGTTATACAATCGTTGTATTGTAAATTGTGTAATGTATATTGTGACGTTATTTCACGTCACGAGTCTGGAATAAATTGACTGTCGCATTAATCGTGCGGGACGTATTGCCGTTCCTTAAGATCGCCTTACGCGAATTACCGGCCAAGAACTCCAGGGTCAAAATGTAAAAAAAAAAAAGGAAGATTAAATTAATTTCTATTATAAAAAAATTTCATGCGTTACGAATTCGGCCACAAAGTCCAACGTCTTCGCGTCGCTGGAGGAGAATCACCGCGAGGCTACAGATATGAGGCCAAGATATGAGGTGTGTTTATGACCCAATTCTTTATTTTTTTGAGCCCATACCCCGGTTTTTATGCAGAAAAAAGCATAAAAAATATAGTTTTTTCAAAATATAAAATAAGGGTTGCAACCCCTTGGGTCATAAACACACCTCATATCTTCGAATTCTTATGACAAATATTTTCCACTTGGTTTTATTAAAAAATATCAATTAGAATCTGACATATGATAAAAAACAATTTTCGGGGGTAAAATTTAGGGGTGGTTTTTATCCCTTTGAAAAATCCTGAAACACCCCAACTGAAATATTTGATGGAGTTAACGGAAACGCTTTTCTTTATTTTTTTGAGCCCATACCCCGGTTTTTATGCAGAAAAAAAGCATAAAAAATATAGTTGTTTCAAAATATAAAATAAGGGTTGCAACCCCTTGGGTCATAAACACACCTCATATCTTCGAATTCTTATGACAAATATTTTCCACTTGGTTTTATTAAAAAATATCAATTAGAATCTGACATATGATAAAAAACAATTTTCGGGGGTAAAATTTAGGGGTGGTTTTTATCCCTTTGAAAAATCCTGAAACACCCCAACTGAAATATTTGATGGAGTTAACGGAAACGCTTTTCTTTATTTTTTTGAGCCCATACCCCGGTTTTTATGCAGAAAAAAAGCATAAAAAATATAGTTGTTTCAAAATATAAAATAAGGGTTGCAACCCCTTGGCTCATAAACACACCTCATATCTTCGACTTCTTATGACAAATATTTTCACTTGGTTTTATTAAAAAATATTAATTAGAAGTCGAGATATGATAAAGAAACGATTTTCAGGGGTGAATTTCAGAGGTCGTTTTCACCCCTTTAAAGTGGATGTCAGCACAAAAAAAAAATACGTGTCTCTTATTTTGTCGAGTACTACAACATATCAAAAAATTATTGAAATCGGTGGGGTCGGGTTGGGGGGGTTTCCTTGTAAGAGTTATTTAATTGAGTACCGTCTAAAAGTAAAGTTCAAAGACTGGTAACTAGATTAAAGGACGGAGAAAAATTAATTGATTATTTTTTAACGTATTACCAAAGTTTGATATTAATGTTAATAAAAACATGATTGTAAACAAAACCAGTTTTTTTTGTCAAATTAGCCCCTCCTAGCCCCCCCCCCCCCCCCAAAAAAGTGGGGTCGGGTTGGGGGGGTTTCCTTGTAAGTCTAGTTTGTTTCGTATTACGTAGTTCCTGAAAGTTCGGAAAGAGTATCGAACAATTAAGCGAAATATCGTGTCGCGCCTTAGAGTATCTTATCTCTTATCTCTTACCTTTTTTTATTTCGTTAGAATATATATATTATACATTTGATCGTAAATCTTTTTGTCGATGTTTTCATTATTACAATTTTTTCCTTGTGTAATCAATCCTCCGTGTTAATTAGGCTTATCGATTCTGTATAATCGCACTACAGGGTATGGCTGCGTGTAGAATGAAAAATACATTGAAGTAATTGCTCGCGCGTATCCTTGCCTGTGGCAGTCTTATAACGTAGGATGAATCGATAAATCACATAATAAACGTGGAACATGTTCTCGTTTGGCCCACTTATGACCACCATACTTGGACTAATGTAAAACATACGTAAATAGGTATGTATGTGGGTATGAATCGGGGAACTGAGTTTTGCCTGAGGTCAAATTGACTTATACTAACATAAGTAATGGCGGATTATAGAGAACAAAAGATATATATAGAAATCTGTTATACCGGTAGAGAGAAAATCGGTCGGTAAGGTAGGACAAACAAAGCTTGTTTAGGACGATAAGAATAGGACGATAAGGTCATAAATTATATAGCTTGGGGAAAAAATAAAGGAAATTCGAACAGCCCGTGTCACGCACATCTATTACTGTGACTATGACCTAAAACCTGTGGGTATGGTGCGTGGAACGAAATTCTGTACGAATATAGACTCGAGGAATTCAGACGGGAACCATTGAGGTCGATCGAATTGACCATATAGTATATTCGAATAGGATTCGTGTGAGAAATATCAAGTAAGTCACCAGGGAGGAAAATAACGGATAGTCGTGATGGCTGATATTTTGGGAATGGTATTGGCAACCCTGTATATGTATATGTACACACGACTAACGTGCGTGTCACGTACGGTCCTTTTCAAGATAGGGAAAAAGAAAATTGGAATTTTTGTTGGCAAACCTGACAGTAATAATACTGACGTCGTCAGGTTTTTTTTAATCGGATAACCGATAGTCGTGCAATAGTAAATGGTCCGCATACTGGTTCAATAAATATTTTATTGCTCGACTGAATTATGTTTTACTGCAATCTCATAAAGCGTTCATGTTGCACTTTGAATGCAGTGAATTATTAAATGTTCCTGTTAGATTTACAATGGCAGGGATCTTGACGGAAGGTAACCTGATGCGAATAAAAGTTAATCGTTTTACATATTTTTTTTCGTAACTCATATAAATTGCTCGGTCGGTCGTCCTATGATGGATGAATTGTGCTATAATAAATTTCCAATAAAAAAAAAATGTGAAACTGACTGACAGCCTTGTCAAGCGTTTGTTTACTATCGATACCTCTTTCGCGTATCTCCCTGTGTTTGACAGATTTTACGCGTTACATATTGGCAGATTATATTGGTATGACATATATAATAATTATTCACTAGGCCATCTGGAAAAGAATAAAGACTACTGTATTGCCCTTGTATATTATGCTGCATAAGTCATAGCTGTCCTAGGCAGAGGAAAGTGTCAATGTCAGATTTTCCCTCGATTTGCCCCAGAGAAAATCTTTTCTCAGCGACCACCAAATAGACGAGCGAAGAGTAGCTAGTCGAGCTTAATTCGTTGACAGACAAGAACTCTGAGAAACAGTTGATTTAAAAGAAAAGAAAATAATTGAAAACCGAAAAAAAACTTTGAAGCAGATACACGTACCTGCATGGCATCGAACATTCTCAAAGGGGAAAAAAATCAATATGGCTTCCTGGGTCCTCGACTGAGCAAACATTCCTCCTGTGTCGCTTGTATATCCTTTTATCATCTATGTCGTAACGTTGAGACGTATAACGTAAAAGTTTGTCGTTTTTTGTAATTTAATTTTTCTTTCTTTAACGTTGCTTCAGATCCGACGAAAATGGAGGACCGTCCGATGCACTTCTACCTGACGAGGTAACGCCATGCATATGTATGTACATCTTGATTAGCAGCTTGGGGTTTGATAAATTTAATTAATTGGCTAAGCTCGAATATTCCTGGCCCGTTTTCACTAAGCTCTCTGTGTCTCCATGCTCGAGAGAATCTCCGAGTGCACTCGAATGGCTCGTATTGTCGAAAATAACGAGACTGTCGCGGCGCGAGGAAGACGTCGTGTGCGCATGCGCAAGAACCGGAGTCAGCTGTGGAACGGCAGAGAAATGGCGCGCGGGACAGGAAAAGACTGAGAAGATTAATGCTGATCCTCCTTGGAGTCGGAAACGGCGTAGATATATGTTTGGGGGATGCATCGGAGGATGGTGAGGAGGAAATAAAGTTAAAGAGGGTGGTGGGTGGTAGAGAAAATTTTAGTGGAGATTCTCTCGCTATATCGACGGTGTTTAATAGAAAAATATATAGATATATCGCACGTAGTGTATCTCTGTGTAGGTATAACCGGAAGGGGGATGGACGATGTAAAGATTAATCAAAATTCTCAAGATCCTTGGGAGGGAGAGGGGAGGGTGGGCGTATCAAGATGGTAGACACCGTCATGAGGCTGATGCAATCCAATCGATGCACTTTTTCTCAACGATGCACTTTTCTAGGGTCCCCACGACGCCACTTCCCCCTTTTTTTTTGTATTGGTGAGAGAGACGCTGATGAGAGATAACTCTGTTGCACTTTTATCATATCTTTTGTAGACAGAATCGATGTATACATTTCCTGTATATGCACACGTGTATGCACCGTGTGTGTTGTATGCATTTTTTAAATGTACAATCAGGTCGATTCTGTTGTCGCTTGGAAAAAATGCAGCAAAGGAATATCACGTCGATACGTTCGTGTTGTGATAACAAGGCTTTAGTGTTTTTTTTTTATCTCGACCGGATAACGTGACTCAGGCAAATGTTAATTCTTGGTTTAGATGGATTTTATCACGTTGTGTGCGCGTAACGTATCTTGATAACGTTGTTATTCCCGCCGAAAGTTCATGCGGACGTAATAAAAAAAAAATAATTTGTCCCGATGACGCCAATAAAATCTATACCGCGTGAAATATTTGTATCCGACGGTACCGCGAATTTTACTGGTGGCATTTTGTCAAGAAACTTGAGGGTACGTCCCACGCATACCATCCGTTCGATTTTCCCTTGGGGCAGTACGGAAAGGGTGAATTAAGGGGCGACTCAGTGAGCGAGGAGGATGAAGGGAGCGGGTGGGAAGGAGAGAAAAGAGAAGAAAATAAAGTAAAATAGACTTACGGTAAAAGCGTAGAGGTTTATCTCTCTCTCTTTTTTTTTTCTTTTCTGTTCATTCTCAAACTTTCATTTAAACGCCAGCCGAGTGCGTTTAACTTTTTACAATTGTTTATAGACTTGCCTTATGTTTTAATAATAATAAAAATTCTATTTTTCATTGTTATTTTCAGGATACTCGCTTAAGGATGCAACTATGAGAGGTTGGTACGGATGCAGGTTATTTATATTCATCTGAAACTTACTTCAGTTTTGTAAGCTCTTGCTGTTCGATGACTCAGTTTTTGAATTTCCCGTCGTTAACAATGATATCCGCTTCTCGGCGATATAGTGGATTTAGTTGAAACTCATGTCCGTCCAGATTCCAATTGCTATATGCAACTTCAACTTGATGCTCTAAATCATGAGAATCAGATTAACAATAATTTTTAACTCGTCAATTAATCATTTGTTTTTTTTTTCTATATTGGCTTATCTGGGTAAACAAGGCAGATAATAAAATTACATAAAACCTATCAGACAATGCAACGTTTTCTGTATCAGATAACTTTTCTTTCCCACTCTTTCCAGCTTCTTTGCGTCTGTCAATTATTCAATAATTTATTAGCGCGTAAAATCATGATAATAATTTGCGAATAAAAAAAAATTATCTCACCAGCTAACCGATGTACGGCCCAATAGCATAAAATAGTCCAATTACTCTCGTTAGCGCTTCGTTAAATGTGCATAAACGATCCAGTCGGTAAGTTAGGTCCCTACGGTTATATTCAGTGTCAGGCAAAAGTAGGCAAATAAAAAAAGCTCATATAGTTAACACTGTACCGTTATTTAAAAAATTACATCCTCCAGAATTTTTTGTCAGTACTCGAACATCTAACGGCACTCCTTTCATTGGTATTACTGTTTCTTTGAGACTTTCACCATATCGTTGTGACGTATTGTCAATTATCGTTTCAGCATCGAGCATCTGCGTCTGGTAGTTTGCACAAGGGACAGACAAATATGAACCGAGAGAGACGGCGTCGTATTTCAGAACGATTGCTAACGAGAGGAACGCGTTTGTTCTATAAGCGTAGACGATACGTTTCGCTCGTCTTGTATTTTATATTTCCCGCCTCTGTCTGTCTCTCGATTTATGTTCAATGCTCGAGTCGAGCTTCGTTTCCGTGATACATTTTTCGTTCAAGTGTTATTGTCGTATTCGTCGCGACGACGTTGTACGCCGACTGATAATTGTAGATTTTGAGGTTACGAAGGTTTACGACGACGTTCCGACGGGAACGGAAACACGACGTCCGTAGCTTTTCTTTTTGGCGCCGTGAAAGACTGAAAATAACTTTACGCTGCGTCTCATCGTCAAAACCGGCGGGTACGACTTGGCGGCTTCTGTTATAGGAGAAGCCTATTACGGAGGGCTTTCCATATGCTAAGTCTTGACAGGTTGGGATTTGCAAGTTGTGACGTTGCTGTTTGCGGGATTCTTTTCTATTAGCGCTTGTGGGACTTTTCTTTTGTCGTGTTTACTTGCGTTTGTCGATGACGGAATAAAACCATGGGTTATGAAGAGCAGTGGTGAAGTGCTAGCTGTTTCGTTTATTTTTTTACTCTTTTCTGTTTGGTTAAGAGATTTTTGAAGAGGTAGGACAAATTGATACGAACCGTTGAAATTTGAGGATTGTCGTTGAGGAAGCTGAATGTACGTGAATATTCGTTTTGAAGGCACGGTGTGATAGGTAAATACATTTATACATTATTATATGACTAAGGAGGTTTTTTTGTTTATTACGCAATGATGTGTCCGTATTTGCTCTCTTTTAACCTTGCAATTGGCTTGGTTCTCTCGCGACCAGTTTTACTTTTACTCTTATGTATCATTTGTTGAATACTTGCTCTTTAATAGACTTGTACTGGTATGTGGTATGTGTCGCCATCTTTGAATAATTTTGTCAAACTAGGTTGAAGTTGCATAGAATCAGAAGGATACAAATCGTCATTAGTAATATCCTTCAAGTTGGGTCGTGTAGTAGTTTGAGGGAGGTTCTCAGAGATGGCACAACATTTCGTTGCTGACGGCGTTTACGCGGGAAAATTCAAATTAATATAAGAATTGACATTGTTGCGTAACGTTAAGGTATCACGAAATTAATTCTAAGGGTTTGACTTTCAGGAGGCGCTGTGGCAGGAGTAGTGAGATCAGGTCGTGGGACTCTAGTGCGCACCCTCGCATTCGTCTTCCTGGCAACGTTCCTCTGGTTGCAGTTACACGTGGTCAGCTTAACCGGACGATCGCTTCCTAGTTCCTCGTCAGCAAATGAGACCTTGTTCGCTCTAGTGCCCCAGGAACTTCACAGGTAAGCTAATAGGTCTTGATCTTATCAATGCCATTCCTAGAATGCATTTTCAGGGTTTCAATATCCTCTCTTCAGGTTCCTGAAGGAAAGAAGAAACGCCACGGTACCAGGAAACTCAACGGGCACGCTAAGCGAACAAGAGATCCTAGACATCAGACGTCAGATTCAAAGGGTCAACGAGGAACAACGTGTCTTCAACGAGGAAGCTTTTGGACCACTAGCATCAGATGCACCAGTGATAGTAGTCCAGGTACACGCCAGACTCAGTTACCTGAGACACCTGATCGTTTCCTTGGCACAGGCTCGTGGCATCGAGCAAGCCCTTCTAGTCTTCAGCCATGACGTCTGGAATCCTGACATCAACTACCTCGTGCAAAGCGTCGACTTCTGTCGCGTCATGCAGATCTTCTATCCGCACAGCATTCAGACGCATCCACGTACCTTTCCTGGGGAGGATCCAAACGACTGTCCCAGGAACATCCACAAGGACCAGTTAGTAAAGTTAGAATCGCCTTATTTCAAAAGTCATATTAACCACTGAATTGATTATGAAAAATTTCAAATACAGTGCACTTAATCTAAAGTGCATCAATGCCAAACATCCTGACCTCTATGGGCATTATCGAGAAGCCAAATTCACCCAGACAAAGCATCACTGGTGGTGGAAAGCCAATAGGGTCTTCGATCAGCTTACAGTGACCAGGAATCACACTGGTATGGTCCTTTTCCTCGAAGAAGATCATTACGTCGCAGAAGACTTCCTTCATGTTTTAAGACTCATGGAACGCACCTGCCGGCATAGCTGTGAACGATGCAACGTCCTCTCCTTGGGCACCTACATCAAAACCTACAGCTACTATGACGAGGGCAGCAGAAAGGTGAGACTCCTTATCTCTCGTAATTGCTTTCAACAAGGGCACCATTTATGCTGACTCATATACGTAAAAAAAAAAACACATTTTTCACGCATCAGTACCTCGGCGTCAACAGTGCACTACAGAAGGAGCTTCTACGAGGGCTGAAACGCCAGGACAGTCTGGCTGAATCAGCTGGTCAAACATTTCAGGGTCAGGCTGCACCCGTCTGGGCTTTTCAACTATTGCCAAGCCTCTACAATCATTATCAGAAGGTCTTCTATTAGCACATGCAAAGATCTCTTATCCGACCTTGCTTCTACCTTTTTTATATTTAACATAGACACTGTATATTACCTATCATGAAAAACTGTACTGCCAGGATGCTTGATTACGCAGACGTCTGAATGGCCGTCTTGCCAGACACTTTCTAGTTTCAGTTGTATAACACCGATATTGGCTACGTGCCTACGCACTTAGATCTAATGTTTAGACTGCACGTGCATTCTGTCAACGGCACCGGTTCTGATGGACGGAATTTCCAATTAAATCTTCGTTTGGAATCTGTGTGCGTACGCACGTAGCGAATACGATAATATGAATAATACCAAAAATTAGAAACCTGCCCGTACTGTATTTATCGTTTATATGATTGTGAGTATTTCTTAATGAGCATGCAAGTGCACGAATATCTATATAGGATGTCCCGACGTTATATAACTTTCGTTGATTCAATCAATGATCGATTAATCAAATAAAATCTGATAACGTCAGTGGAACGTCGTACATCCTATGTACATTATCTAGACTGTAAATTGTTTCAGTGTGCAAGTTACGGGAATGGAGTATCAAATATTTATGTGAAATTACTACAGATAATTGTACTGTTCTTTTGATATTCTTTGAACGAACCAATGAACAATATCTTTGTAACTAGGAATCCTATTGCATTTCACTGTAAAGCCCGTATTGTTAGTCTCTTAAGCTTGTTTTTTTTCCCCGATAACACTACGTTTATCTATACTCATGCACTCTTCTTTGTAAATGCAGGCGGAAGTGACTCCGTGGATATCAAGCAAGCACAACATGGGCATGGCGTTTAATCGTATCACCTGGAACGAGCTGCGCAAATGCGGTATGCAATTTTGTTCCTACGACGATTATAACTGGGACTGGAGTCTTCAACATGTCGGGCAAAGTTGCCTTCCGCCAAGTCGTGGAGCAGGAGCTGCACCGAGAGTCGATTCCGGTCTGGTAGCTATGGTGATGCGAGCACCAAGAGTATTTCACATAGGAGAATGGTACTTGACCGATGACCCGTTTTTTTCCTTTTATTCAATTAATAATTTTAGAGACTAATAATTTTATTATTCATTGGTCTTTGCGGTTCTTTTTACAGTGGTGTTCATCACAAGAAGAATAACTGTGAGTCGAACGCCGTCATAGCAAAAGTACAGAGCGTCCTGAAGGCAGCTAGGAAACATCTGTTCCCGATGCAACTAACGCTCACAATAGCGGCAGTGGCAAAGAAGACAAAGCTCAGGAAGGGCAATGGCGGTTGGGGTGACATCCGGGATCACGAGCTGTGCTGGAACATAACCATGTATCCGGACTTGTCACTCCCCTAAGGACCATCGCCTTCGGCCTCCTCTGCGCAGAGTCTCAGGAATTTAATTTTCCCGGCGGGTGCAAACAGTCACCAGCCGAGCCTATATAAAAGGTTGCACTAGCTTGCGGTGTCCTTGACTTTAAAGGGTGCTTCTGGAATGATCGCTGGGCGACCACGAGTCGGAAACGTACTGCTCAAAAAAAGGTTTAACTAAACTAAAAACAAAAAGCATCAAGAGATACTCTTCTTCGAGAGCTTATCTTGAAAGTGGGTTTATTTAAGGTAAAGAAAAGAGAGAGTGAAATTCCTTGTCGAAGGGACGCGGTGTATGTTCATTGCGCCGTCGAGCTTTAGCGTTATTAAATTTTTAATTGTTTAAAGAGCCAAAGCATAATTCGATAAGTCTTGAAGCATTAAATGGTATTTTAATGTTTGACTAAACGTGCAATTTTTCTAGTATCAAAATGGTTTTTCTTTGTTCACTAGAGGAAACGAGCGAAAGACAGTAATTAAATATGAAATATTTTATTAATGGGGAAATATACCATTAATGACAAAAACAATTATTGCGCTATTGAGCTTCTGTATATGAGTTAATTATATGTATTATTATTATTACTAATCGGCTCGACGTATATTACGTGGGCTATCGGGCAGACTCAATCCATTCCTAGTACATTAGTATTACATCATACGTATGAATCAGTTGTGCTTTGTTCTTTCCTATGGGGAAGCACGTTCGGTAGAAGCTGAGGATAATAAATCTTGAAAAAGAAAAAGAGGACTTACAGAAAAAGATAATCACATTAATCAAGAAAGACAGGCGAATCTAAGGAAAAGTTATGACTAGGGCAAAAAGAGGGTATAGACTTGAAAAATCGTAACTCATTGTCTTTTTCATAGGTTTGACAATACTTCTTAAACAATTAAAAGAAAATGGTAAACTCTCGTTTACGCCAGAGACGCACACGCAAAAATATGTATACATATATTCTAGTCATCGTGGATTAACAAAAGCTAATGGGATATTAAATATTTAATATATACATCGCAAAGGAAAGAAAGCGTCGATCATGATTTATTATTAATTCTTATTAGCATTGTTAATTGTCACTGTCCTCATTATAATGCTCGACCCGCATTCGCGTCACATTGAGTCCCTTTTGTCTTGTGCTGAGTAAAAGAACAAGAGAATTAAAGACAAACAATGTTTAATAATTAGTAACATCGGGGACCCGTCATTGCTCACGTTCAACAAGAAAATCTCGTGGGTCACGTGATGTAAATACAGATGGCCTCAATGAAAAAAAAAATTCGATTGTGGAAACTCATATGACATGTGATAACGGCTTAAATTTTCACGATACTCCCGAATATCAGTCTTTATATATTTTATGCATACAGTATACTCAACGAAAGTTCTACCTGTATGTACTGTATAGTTTAGATTCATTGGTGAGAATGCTTAGAACCTGTGACATGTTATTATGAAATACGGAACATTATTATTATCATTGTTGTTACTATTATTATTATTATTGACTGTATTTATTATTCTTTATGACTGAGACTCGAGTATCCTGGGAACCAGGAACAACGTTATTAATGTATGTGGCGACATATCTAGAAGCCAAATAGACGATTGGTGGCAGATGATTCGTTATACGATCCATATTATATTCCAGTAAGGATGTAAGTGTTTTATATGGAAATAAAGTGAATGTTCCTTCCAGGCGGAAGTTTACAACTTTTTAATTCACGGTCAGAGCGTTTGTCGCTACCGTACATGCTGGATAACTTGTTTGCGTAGAATTATATTGTGACATATTTTATAGTATATTGATTGTAGCAAAAGTGTTTCATTGGATCAAAATCCAAGCTGCTTGTGAACTGTTGGTACGTAGTCGTCGAACTTGGCCTTATAAAAGTTGCCGGCGATTGGACCCTCCAGGTTGTACTTTGCGGCGAATTTTTTTATGGAGAATCTGTTCCTTCTGTTGTCCCTGTTCATTGCGTAAGAGTGACAATTAGGCGTGGATTCAAATGAGAAGAAGGATTTGTTTATGATTTTAATTACGGTAATGGTCTAACCTGTTGCTTAGACGCCTCTCGTCGAAGGTAATGGCGCCCTGATTTTGTTTGTAGAGTAGAAAGATGTAACGATGGAGACCGGAATCCTTTGGTGGTGCTGAACTTACGAATTCTGTCAGAACTTCACCTTTTGCTACTTTGTCCTCGGGTATGTTGCCGACTAGCCAGTGTTGCCATTCTCTGTTGTATCCTCTTACCGGTGCGTCTGGATCTGTATTTTGAAAGAAGCTAGTACTGTAGATAGTAGCATATGTATGGAGAGGTGTACATATAGCAATCCTTGGTACTTGTTATTATGATTGGAGAACAAGATTCTCACCATTGGTGAGGGAAGAAACGAGTTTCTGGTGAAAGTAGTTTATTATTTCTAAGGTTATTCACTATCGAGAACGACGTACTGTTATTTCCTTTTATGCTTGACAATTCCTTAAATTTTGAGTTTACCGCAGGGACATTTATTTCCAGTTGTATGTTTAGTGACTCTTACTGACTTTTAGGCATTATTGCTTATTAGATTGAATTATTGATCGACATGAATTATAGGATTTTATATGATGGATGACTAACAAAGTTGAGATTGTAGAAAATGTGAGTCTATTATTTGTGTAAGAGTTTTTGTAAATTTTAAATGGGTTAATGACTTACCAGTTAGCACTAGAGTGTAGAGTACTCCACCCTCGTGTTTGTAATGAATCTCAGGAATGTCTTTGACTTCCGTTGGTGTCAGTTCATTTCCTAGATTGACTTCCTTGTCTCCGAATTTTACCTGTTATTAATTTTATCATTAAGTTCGTTTAAATCGTATTTATTATAAAATAAAGTTTTGTTACCTCAATCAATTCAGTAGGAGCTTTGTCCAATATGTCTGGCACGATTTTAGCAGCGTTAAATTCTGATTCCACGTCGGCCAAGGCCAGTCCAATTGCACAAAGAAATATTCCTAAGAAATGCGGAAACATTTTTTACGTATGTCATTTGGAAAATTTGTTTGTAACTGCAGAAATGAATCTTCGCGTTAATCAAACCATCACGTTGGCCGTGAGGTATACTAAATTGGAATTTCGCAGTTGCCATAATTTCTTGGTTCTGTCTTATCGCATGATTTGCTTTTTCCATATGGTCAAGAAATCAATATCAATCACGGCTTTTGATTTATTCGCACGAACTAACAATTAACGGTACTAGTTTTTTCATAAAGGTGTTTTAATGTCTTGGATTGGTAAGCACTTACCTGGCAACAGAAGCTTCATTCTTGCTGGGTGAATGGCTGAAACGTTTGTAACGGGATTGACGATGAAGTCGAGTCCTTTATATTATGCTATCCCTACTTTTCAACACGTTTCTCACGTATAAGCAGGTTTAACCAGCAGTATTGAATACAGATCATCCTTTTGAATTTAACCAATTTTTTTCACCTACTTAATTTTTTATTCAATCTTGGATTTTTTTAACATTCTAGTCTTGTCAAATAGTATTTCGTTTAAATTCATTTACTTAATAGATTCCATTATGGTTACATAGATACAGATAATTAACATTTTATAGAAAAATACTGGGCATTCCTTTATTGAAGCTCATTATTATTTAACAATGTCTACTATGGGGAGTAATGGTACAACAAGATCTTAAACATTATAAAACAAAGTTTTTAGTAAGAAATTGAAATTTTATTAAAACAAATTAAACTTCATTACTGATGCAATTAGCATACTCTACAATGTCTGTACATTAGAGGCGATTATGCTAAGTAATATAATCTTTTCTGCTTGCCACGATATTATTATTAAAGTAATCGTCTGTATATATACCTTAACGTTGCAAAATTTTACAAGTTGTTACACTGAGTTTAAGCTCCACCAAGCTGCTTGTATAAGATTGGTACGTAGTCGTCGTATTTAGCCTGGTACATGTTTCCAGCAATGGGTTCATCCAACTTGTATTTAGCTGCAAATTTTCTGATGGAAAAGAGTCCTCGATTCTCTCCGCTTTTGTTAGTTAAACGCTTCTCATCAAAAGTTAATTTGCCAGGCTGCTTGTACACCAGGAAGACGTAACGATGAAGTCCAGTATCTGGTGGTGGTCCTGAGCCAATGTACTCAGATAGGACTTCACCTTTTGATACATCGTTACCAGAAATATTTCCAACGAGCCAATGATGCCACTCACGGAACTTAGGCTCCTTTCTGCTTGGAGCATCAGGATCTACGAGCAAGATAATTGTTTTGTATTAAGTCATTGAGTACAAAATGTCTGATTTTGAACTGAAAGTACTCGAAGTGAATGGACATTTCGTACTCAATGACCTAATAGTTTCTATCGATACTCTAAGAGTTTCCAATTCAAATTGTATGTAAAATGTTCTCACCAGTCATGCACAGGGTGTAGAAAGATCCTGCCTCTGCATCCCAACTTACAGATGGTTGATCTTTCACCTGAGTTGGAGTGTATTCCTTTCCAATCTCAATAGTCAAGTTATTAGGATAAACAACCTTTGCGAATGAGGGTGGAACTGTGTCCACAACATCAGGTATTACACCATGTGTCTGCAGTGCCTGAGTCATTGAAGATAGAAATCTTGTAGCTATTCCTTGAACAGGTTTTTTGCTTGCTAAAGCAGCTAAAAACAATAGAAAACGTTGAGGTATATGGTTTATATACACTATAGAAAAAAAAGAACGACCGGTTTACAATACAATTTTCTATTGTTATTAACGAAATGGAATCACACAAATCATCCTAAGGATGTAAAATTACACTATCAAAGTAAATCGTATGAAGTATATCAAGGAACGCAGATACTGTATTAAACCCAATGCAATTTATCTACGTCTAGATTGAATCATTTAACTACAAAATATAAAAACTCTGTTAATCTTCAACAAAAAAATATTACTTGCACAAAGAATACGCATCGCGTATAATGAAGAAAAGATACTCTAAACAGTGCCTGCGAGCAAAGTTCTGTGCAACCAACTCACCAGAATGTTCGAGTTAATATGGCGCCTGATAATCTCGATCATACATATGTATATAATATCTCGACAAACCGGCCGGTTCCTTCCTTCCTTCCTTTCCTTATGGCTGTATGGACATATGCCAGTAACTGGTCCTAATAATCAAGGTTCGAAAGTTCGACGATAGATGGCGATGTACCTTGCGAGACGGGTCTTATTCAACTCAGCGTGAAGGGACCTACAAAGTTTATACACCGAATCCGAACAGTGTTGGGCGAAGTCCGTATAAATACTTACTTAAGTTTTCATATAAAAACTCATTGGTGAATGCCGCTGGAAGCTGGGCGCGAACCTCCAACCTTTCGGTCGTGAATCCGCTACCCTATCCAATGGGCTACGGCTGCCCCAAACCGGCCGGTTAAACATATTGCGCAATATAACAGTCAGAGACCAGAGATGAGTAGGGAGATGTACAACACTACGATTTTGAGCGATACTAAAATCATGGCGCTTAATCTGGAAGTAAGATTTTGTGATCATCGCCTTCGTCGACAACGCGAATCCCGTCGTAGCCGAGCTAAACGTGAACACGACGCGTAGCTTGGCGGGCAGAGTTTCTCCGCTACTCACCGTTGGTTCCCAAAGCAACCCTTAGAACGAGACCGAGAAATATAGAAGTTCTCAAAAACTATTAAAAAAGCCTATTGTTGAAACACTTTTAAGACGTTTTTAAAAAAGAGCGGTGCCAATTTGTAAAGGAAAGTGATAACAGCTGCTGATAATGTAAAACAGTAAATCGCTTTTTAATTTTATTTCATTATACTATAATACAGTACAAGGAAGTACATAGAATATAACGGAGGGCTACTCCTACTTTATTTTACACATAATATCTCTCAAAAAGAACTTTGCACATTTCATCGAATACTCCGTTAATCTAGGCGCGTTCGTCGAAAAGACAAAAAAATAATCATTTTCTATATCTTACAATATACATATCGTCAAAAGTAACAATGAGAATCGCGTTGACAAGTATAAGAATAATGGATAATACCTAAAGGATTTTGTTGTGAAGTAATTAAAATTGGACGCTTTCTGCGAGAAGGAAACAATAAGCCAGGGCAGGCTGATCTGTACAGTGGGATGCCCGCCCGAGAAATAGAAGCATTAAAAAAACTCTTGGGTCTACCGCCAAGCCGCAAAACTGTTTGTCCTTCTCGCATTGGCCACCGTGGCGCCACAGGCAGCTAACGCTACTAACAAGTGACTGATACCAAAAATATTGCACGCGTCTGTTACTCCACTTGCATATTCCACTAATTCGTTCATTATACTTGTTTTTGTAATTTAATTCGCGATCGACTCTATTGGCGACACTAGCAACTATTTACAAAATATTTTCATTAAGGGGTGTCAAGACTTTTGCACAGAAACAGAAGGATTAACATTAATGAAGAATCCGGAATGTCTTCACTCCTTTCTTCAGGGAATATTAATTCCTACTTGGCAGTGGTTATAAGACTCTAAAGTTTCTTTAGAATCCAAGTCGTTTGAGATTCGCCCTGGCAGTTAATCCACTCAGTCTGGATTTCTCTCCTTGCCAGCTCTTGCTTTTGCTGCGAAACTGTCGCAGATCTGCCTCATGATCAGGATGCCTCATCGGTCTATAACCTTGAGGTGAGCAGAGGTTTTTTTGTTCCTGATAGAACTGCCGATAGCCACCATGAAGCAGGTAAACTTCAGGATAGTGTAGAGCTGGATAATGTTCCTTATTCCGTTGTCGATCAATGTTACGCAGAAATCTAGACAAATTGGGACCTCTCTCCCAGGAGAACTCACAATGGAAGACCAAAATGTTCCTCTTATTTGAGTCAGGATGAATCTGTGGTGCATGAGTTAGTGGATCCAGAAGTTCCTTCTTAATGAGTTCCTTGTTATAAAGATTCATGGCTCCTTCAATATGTCCACCATTAAATTCATAAGGATAACGACAGTCCACAATCTTGAAAGATCCAACTCTGTCATAAAATTCACCATGTATCAGCTTAGCTAACGTAGTGGCACTAATAGATTTAAGGTCTTCATGTTGTCCTTCGGCTAGTGGTAGAATGCAGGATTTACTGAAGTCTCCTGTGAGATCAGCATCTGTAGTACTTCGGTGGATTGCATACTTGATATGAGCATGAGCCTCGGTGTCAGATATACTTCTCTGGAGTACTGGCTTAGGACTAGATATCTCGGGTATGTCCTGGAGGCTAGTTGACTTCCTGGATCTCTTGACTAGGACTGGACTGGCGTCAGTGGGTGGTTCTGGTCTTTTGAAAGACCTGGACGGCGGCGAGTCTGGAGCACTCATTGAACCACTGCGTGGATTCTCGTCGAAGGTGAGCTTGGCCGTCGATGAAGTGGCGTTCGGTGACCGGAAGAGGCACGAGCGCACCTTCGATACAGGCGTCGTAGTCTTCTCAATCCTACCCTGAAGAGACAGAGATCTTCCCAAGGAAGGCTTAGTTCTGTGATACTCAGGCGTGGTTGCAATGTCACACTCCATTGGCTTCTCGGAGACGATGTGACCCGAGAGAAGATTTGAAATCCCATTTGGTAGCTGAGTTGTCTCATCAAAGGTATCCATGTCGATGAGGTCGTTGAAACCGTCGTCAGTACTCTCGTATCCCGATGACAGCCTTCTAACAACGAATGGTCTGATACATCGTCTTCTAGGTGAGGATCGCACCGGGCTTTGCACAGGACTACGGGATTCCAATGAGAGTCTTCGTGGAGCAACAGCAAGAGGTTCTGCAAAGCGGAATGCATCTCTGTTCTTCAACGAATCCTCCTTCTCAGGGAAGCTCACACCGTAACCACTATCTTGACTGTTAGGATCATAATCCTCCAGAGGGCAGCGTGACTTAAAGATCTTGTCAAGAATCTGCAAAAATTAATTAAGTCAGTTAAAATCCCCATTTAACGAAGAAAAACATCCTAACACTAAAAGGTCTGTTAGACCTCTGATAGATATGAGTAGAAACACTGCAGCCAGATCGCTCAGTCATAAAATTTGATAAAATCAACATAGAAACAAAATTCTAATTCCAACTATTTCCTGTCTGAGATTCTTTGCAGCCACGAAGACGCGGTTAATTGTCGCGCGAATGAGAAATTAGCAGGAGGCCTAAGGCAAGGTGCGCATAGATTATGGAAATCCTAGCGGGTCAGAAAACTGTAGATTGGTCGTTGCGATCGGTACGGAAGCGTCGATATACGTCCTGCCGATTTTTTTCGTATCCTATCAACTTCCGCATGCTATTCGCTTAATCGCAGTAGAATCTTAAAGAGAAATCTTGTGGCACCCATATAGTAGGAAACAGCTGGCGCTCTTCCAATAGTGGCCATAGCGCGACTTGGATTTACTCCAATAGCTAATTGATCTCGCGCATACATTATTCAGATTTCCGCTTGGACACCTGTGCGATTCTATTTCCTACTTCTTTACTATCTGCCCGGAAAATCCCTATAAACATCCGTGCAAGATCATATCGTTAAAATAAAATGAGATCATTCAATCTTGCCAACTGCCACAACATAGAAATGTATACCAGATATAAGGAGAGGGGACTTAAGAACATTGAATCTGATATATTTCAAAATAATATTTCTATTAGGAAGACACCATTAGATGGAATCGTTTAAAATTCTTAACTGTCAAACTTAAAACCTGATAGGATTTTTATATTAACGATTTTTTTAATGAGACTCCTTTTTATCGCAACTGCATTTTAATTTTTCTTATCACGTTAATTAGCGAATAAAAGATTTATCGTTTACTACATACCTTCTGCGGACTCGAGATTTTAGGACTGATGAGAGCAGGACTGTTTTCCTTGTCGGTAGATGGAAGCACAGTGTCCGGGCTGGAGATGCGTCGCGACGCCATACCAAGCAGCCGCCTTCCTTTAGTTTTACACTTCAAGGGACCTTCGGGTGTACTTTTAATTTTGAAGGCATTTTTGAAGAGCCTGCAAGCACACAATGACTTTCTGTTAGACACTCACTGCAGTTCCTAGTGATATTTTTATTTCAAACACCATTTTTAACACATGAGAAATTACTAGTGTGAAAGCATGGCACCCTGCGACCTAACCTAGAGATCACAGAGTCCATCCCGCCAAAACTTTTTTCCACGAGAACACTTCATAGACACAAATTTGCATTACAGAATGAAGATAACAAATAAATTAAAAGTCGCTAATCACCTAAGTATTATTTTAACCTAACGGGAGTCACGTAATAGAATAATTTACTGTCATCCATACCGGAAGAACGACTTTCTCCGAATTGCCAGAATCAAATGGAGTCGTGAAAAACCATGTTTCGCTCCATGTCACGCCGCAAGAGAACACTAACGCTAAGTCGAGCCTTCCTCTATCGCGTTTGGCGCGCAACTGATCACCCCCACTTTTACCATATTGGTAAACGAGCGACGGCAGCGCGTCAAAATTCGAGTGGCAGTTAGGCGCACTTTTTCAATATTCGAAGAGCGAAACTATCATTTTCCAAAATCAGCTAAAACGCATTGAAAATTGTAGAGACTATTTAAATAACCACGTAAAGCATCTTATCAGTATGACGAATAAAATGGTACTCCAAGACGTCAAATAAATTATAAAAATTAAAAAAAAAAAGTAATTCAGGTAAAAAATGTATTAAATAACAATCCTTACCGGTCTAAAACAGTGCAATCAACCGGTGAGTCGAAAGCTGACATGTTGAGTAAACCAAAACCCACTTGATAAGACGAAGGAACGATATTTCCAAAAAAGTGGTTAAAGTCCTTTCGAACCAAGTACCACTTTCGACACTGACGTTTATTATATTTTATTCCTCAGATCCACAGAGCCACCTTCGACAATTGACAACAAACAGTTGCTCAACTATTGTTTATATCTAGTACAATGCTGCACTTCACAATCCATATCACTCTTGTACAGCATGTCATGTAATTTTCATTAAATTGCGTAAACAAGATTAGGTCCGAACCGTAAGACAGTAGAAATGCAAAAAAGCGTGATTTGTTACAATACTTAGTGAACAAAAAATTTAGATAAAAAAATAGAACACCGTGAGATTAACAATAAGATAAAACAGGCGCTAAGAAATTCCGTGTCCGACCACACAACTCTGAATGCTGCTCCGTAAAGGGTGCACTGTCTATTTATACGAGCCTGGGACAGTGGTGGGGATAAGGGCAGACCAATAAGAAGTTCCGGAAGGTCCCGCGTAAACCGTAGGGCCGGGAGGCGCTAGTTTCTGGTAGCCGCTGTGGGGGGCCTAGCGATATAACCAAAAGAGCGAGAGAGAAAAGTTCGAAACGTCTCTCTCTCACTTTATTACCAGCTCCCCACCATTATCAGGGCCCAAGAGTCACCCTATCGTACCAAGCTCGCCTAGGTCCTTTCATCTCCTACGCCCATACCTTTTTATTAGCCCACATATCATCGGTTTCCCGTATGTCCTTTTGATCGCAAAAGCATGTACCGTCGGGTATCACGTAACGCCCGAACGACTGGATATAACTGTAGAGCCCAGATTCCATTAACGAATTTGGGCATAGCCAAGATAATTGCAACGGCAAGAACCTTACGAGGTAGGGCGCCCCCCGCTTTTCGGAATTTCTTCGCGGAAATAAATAAAATATTTGCAGGTAAAATTAAATACTTTTTTTTTTAAATATTTCAATTTGTCACAACTTCCAACCGCCACTATATTATCGTTCCCGATAAGGCCCAAAAGTAAAGACAAATTCTTCGCATTCATATTTTACTTCCTCTCGAGCCGTCAATGTTCCTGTCCAGCGAGGATCTTCCTTCTTGTTCTAAGAGTCCAGAAGGGTGTCTGACGGGAAAAGAGAGAGAACGAAATACTACGGCAGGTACCAACTCACTCCGTTAAGAGCCTTAGACTTCTTTTTTTTCCCTTCTCCCCCTCCACCCACCTACATCTCCTTCATCTCACCAGCCCTAGCCTCCTCGTCGTCTGCTTCACTCTAGGGATCACAATGGTCCACCTGATCGCACGAGGCCACCCTCGCATTCTTCCAGGATTTTCACACGGCAGGTACATACTTAGTCGGTCCAGTGTACATCCGTGGAAACAGGTACCCTACCACACAGGACCAACCCCCCACGCACGGGGGTGGGTATTTTCATGGGATTTAACAAAAAAAAATCAAGTTTCCGCTTACAACGATTTTTAAACCTTGAAACGAGACTTTTCGAAATTTTTATTCAACATGATTTCCCTGGCCATGCTTTTGTAACACCCTTGATTTTGGTCCCCTTGAGAAATATATCGTACCCCTAGGGGTTACCCAGGAATTAATGGTCCAGGGATGCTCCTTCGTTTTTCCTTTCTCTTTCCCCTTTTTTTTTGTCATCAACGGGAAATCTGATTAATCAATTCAGGTAGTGTATACATATATATATATATATATATATATATACCCATGTTATTCCTTACATGCAAATGATTTGTGATTTTTTTTTCTTTCCTCTTTTGTTTTTTCCTGCGCATAATTTCTAACGACATGAGGTTTCTGTAAAAAAGTTCTTGATGGACGGTGCTAACGGTCTTAACTTGGGCTCTAAGTGTACTTCATTTATTTTCTACGTGACCCTATCTCCTCTCTTTGTAAGACCCTTGGTACATCTTTTTGTCATGACAACACATTAGAGACTACCGGGACAATTCAGAAACGAAAAGTCGGTTCAGCAGATTTCTTAATTATTAGGCAACGGCCAATTCTGAGCTGTCAAATTCCTTTGGAATTATTTCGTAACGAACTGATCCAGATAATACGAAAAGTGCTGATAAGCGAATAAAGTCATAATTATTTCGTATATTTTAAATTTCAAATAATTATTGACTAGCGATTGACTATTGATCGAATAACGAAGTAAATGTCGATTATTAATTTTTTATTTTTCAGCTATATTTAATTGATGGTTATTGCGGTAAACGCGTGTTTTATGTACGTGCGGGGAGTAGATTAAAAATAGCAAAGGGACGAAGACCATACGAGACGTTCAACTCGCTAGGGGAGAAAATGGCGGAGTGGAGGTCAAATTTAAGATATTCCTCGGTTAGGCTCGTCATCTGCTCGGCATGGGAAAAAGTCTACGGGAACGAGTAGACTTTTCCATGGGGGTTGTACGGCGCGCGGAGACAGGCCCGTGTGAATCTTTTTAGGGGTCCCATACGCGGTCGTTGGGATCTTCTTCGTCGAGGCTTTTCGTGGCCAATCACAGGACTGCTCTATGAGGATGGACCAATCCCGTGTAAGTTTCAGCGGGTAGAACCGATTGGAGACGAGCGTGTGAATAAATCCGGTAGTGAACCAGTGGGGAAGAGATTTTTACTTCCGATTATTGACCTATCGACCCGCCCCAGAAAACTGGAATGCACCCCCTCTCCCGGCCGATTCAGAGCGTGAAAATTATAAAAAATAAGAGCGAGCGACCCCTTTTGAATTTATCGCATAGACATAAAGTACAAGACGTAGCTACTGGATACGGTTTTGTTGAAAATAAAAAGAAATTAGCCCTTTACTGTTTTTCGAAATCAAAATAGGCCCCTGGAAAAGTCATTATAAGGTGACGAGATCGTGGAAATTTTGATTTTGCAAAATAAATTTTTTTTTAATTAAAAGCGAAAAAATTTTGGATTTTAGGGAAAAAGGAGAAAATTCAAATTTTATATAAATTATGTTTCCTGGCGCCTTACCTTCACTTAAATGTAAATCCGGCTTAAGGCTCACCGCTTTCTACCTAATATAAGTCCCATCATATTTTGGGACCTACGTTGACTTGTTTCTATACGGGACCGTTGTTATAACAAGTTACTTAATAACCGTCCTGCTAATCCAGTCATAGCGAAGGACAATGTCAATAGAGAACGCAAAATAGCAATTTCCAACTAAGAGCAATAAAGTATGGTGAAATTCGGTGCGATTGTAAAATTTGGGAAAATTATAAGATTGAAAACCAACGACGACGGTTGGTATCGCTGGTGGATTAGTGATTTTCGAAATATACAATAAATGTGGTTGCGTGTTATATTTCAGCGTCAACGATAATTTATGACGTGAGGACATAATAAAATTTTTCGACAGAATCCCAATTCACTCGATCCTTTACGAGAAACAGATGGCAGATAAGTGCGTTCATAAACCAATCATAATTTGTATCCCACCAGAGGTAGGACTTTTGCTAGGTACAATTGCTAGGTACAATTACCAGCTGACAGTCACCCACAACTGCCTATGGTTAAAATATTCAAAAACTCCAAAATTCCATTGGTCCTCCCTCATTCGGCTTCCAGAACATAACCTACCATATAAACAGAACCCTAATCGATACCCTAAACAGTGTGTGAGAAATAGAATTAAAAAAAAGTCACAGAAAATAAAAGAAGACAATTATCCCAAAATAAATAATGGGTGGTAAAGAAAAAAAAAAAAAAAAAAAAAAAAAAAAAACCAAACAAAAAAAAAAAAAAGGGGGGAAAAAAAAAAAAAAAAAAAAAAAAAAAAA